AAAAGTGCTCAACATCGCTCGGCATCAGGGAAATCCAAATCAAAACCTCCATGAGATACCACCTCACACCCGTCAGAATGGCTAAAATGAACAAGTCAGGAAACGACAGATGTTGGCGGGGATGCGGAGAAAGGGGAACCCTCCTACACTGTTGGTGGGAATGCAAGCTGGTGGAGCCACTCTGGAAAACAGTGTGGAGGTTCCTCCAACAGTTGAAAATAGAGCTACCCTACGATCCAGCAATTGCACTACTGGGTATTTACCACAAAGATACAAATGTAGGGATCCGAAGGGGTACGTGCACCCCAATGTTTATAGCAGCAATGTCCACAATAGCCAAACTGTGGAAAGAGCCAAGATGTTCATCGACAGATGAATGGATAAAGAAGATGTAGTATATATACACAATGGAATATTATGCAGCCATCAAAAGGAATGAGATCTTGCCATTTGCAACGACGTGGATGGAACTGGAGGGTGTTATGCTGACTGAAATAAGTCAATCAGAGAAAGACATGTATCCTATGACCTCACTGATATGAGGAATTCTTAATCTCAGGAAACAAACTGAGGGTTGCTGGAGTGGTGGGGGGTGGGGGGGTGGCTGGGTGATAGACACTGGGGAGGGTATGTGCTATGGTGAGCGCTGTGAATTGTACAAGACTGATGAATCACGGATCTGTACCTGTGAAACAAATAATGCAATATATGTTAAGAAAAAAAAAGAAGAAGAAGATAGCAGGAGGGGAAGAATGAAGGGGCGTAAGTTGTAGGGGGAGACGAACCATGAGAGACGATGGACTCTGGAAAACAAACTGAGGGTTCTAGAGGGGAGGAGGGTGGGGGGATGGGTTAGCCTGGTGATGGGTATTAACGAGGGCACATTTTGCGTGGAGCACTGGGTGTTATGCACAAACAATGAATCATGGAACACTACATCAAAAGCGAATGATGTAATGTATGGTGATTAACATAACAATAAAAAAATTAAAAAAGAAAAAGAACTTGTCCTTTGTGTGAGACCTGATAGGAGTGTCTTTGTTTAGGGTGGGGTCAGTCCCAATCATTGGTCTTCGGTTGGGAGCCGGCCATACCACAAAAACCACCCACGAAGTTTAGGGGGGGGACTTGGAGTCGAGTGGCATTTGTCCACTTGGACACTGGCTTCTACTGTGGGCAGTTCACCCATCAGTCAAGCCTACAGAATGAAGCGCCAGTAAAGATGTTGGATGCTCAGCTTGAGTAAGCTTCTCTGGCTGGCAATCCTCTGCCGATATTGTCTCAGATCAATAACCAGAGGGTAGAATGGCTTGCCTCCACGGGGAAGAAGGCAAGGGTGCCTTTGCCCTACACAGTTTTCCAAGTGGCTGATTATAGCCTGATAAAGTCTATGACTTCCCTAGAATAAACCGTAACCATGAGTAGAATAACCAGTGAGTTCTCTGCAATAAGAAGCAAATGCCATAAATCTTTCTAATCTGGGATTATTGAAATCTGATTCTGATTTGATAATAATTAGGTGGGATTAACTGAATGACACCTTGAGTCAGGCCTGCTCCCTAAAACAAAGAACACAAAATTAAGAACAAAAGCTGGCAATTCGATAATGAAGAGCCAAACTTAATTACTCAAGAAACATCGCTGTGTGGAATACATAAGTAAAAATCATCACTCTACAAAAATCCATCTAAAATAATTATACAAATGTGGTTGAATAATGAAGCTTTACATTATTTATACGTACGTTTTATTTGTAAAAACTAATCAGATAAAGGTATTGAAAAGAACTTTACTGAAAAATCATTCACCAAAAAAAGGACAGAAAGCTGTATTAAAAAAACAGGCTCACATTCGAATCTAATAACTAACCCCCACCGCTATAAACTCTAAAACCAGAAACACCCTTTCCTTATCATTAGTTTTTATTATAGTGTCTCTTCCATCATCACCGAAGACTAAACTTTTGCTGCCTGCTTGACTTTTTTTTTTTTTTTTTTTAATACTTTGTCAGATACTTGGAAGAGTGTCTTCCTGAAAACAGAGACCCCTGACCCAGGATCACCCAGTGCGTCTGAGTGACAGCGAAGGGCGGACTTGGCTCCGAGACAGAAGATGGCCCTTCCACGGGCACATCCTCACCACGACGGTCCCACCCGCCTGGACTGGGCTGCCCTATGCCCTCAGGCCGGTTCCCTTCTCACTGCCTGAAAGAGCAGCTCACGGAGGAAGAACTGTTCCCGGTCAGTGACCACTTTGCACCGCTGACTCGGGCTCCGAACCTGCTCGGGCGCCCTCTCCCGAGGCCAGCCTCACACTGCAGCTGCGGTCCCCATAGTTACACCTGAGTCCAGTAGGTGTCTCTAATTCAGTGCGTCTGGGACTCGGAGAGTCCACTCCTCTCCCTTTCCAAATTCCTTCACTGGAGTTCTTCCAAAATGTATTGATAAAAATCTTAAATCATGTTGATATCCTTGAGTCCCACTTTATTTCTTCCTTACGTGCTTTGGTCTTTTCACACAAAAATTTATCCAGAACCTGGTACATAAGTTAAAGAAAGAAATCTTTATCAAAGTGCATTTACAGGTAAAATGGCACGATGGCTGTACTTTTAAAAAAATATTCCAAAAAATAAGTGCGTGCGTGCGTGTGTGCATGTCTGTGTGCATGTGTGTGTGCGAGTGCATGCATGCGTGTGCGTGTATGTGTGAGTGCATGCCTGCGTGTGCGTGTATGTGTGCATGTGTGTGTGCGAGTGCATGCCTGCGTGTGCGTGTATGTGTGCGTGTGTGCGTGAGTACATGCCTGTGTTTGCGTGTATGTATGCATGTGTGTGTGCCTGTGCCAGGGGGAGAATGACAGTAGGTTAAGTAAGAATGGAAGAATTTAAGCAGGTGGTGGGTACAGTGCACCCTTCTGTTCTTGCTACTTTTGCTCATGTGTAGAAATTTCTGTAATAAAAAGTTCTATAAAAGGGTCCGTCCCTGGTAAATTCAACAAATATTTACTGAACACGAGGATGTGTGTTACCCTCTGGGGATGCACTAGTGACCCCCACTTTGTCCCTGTCCTCAAGGAGCTCATGACCACATAGGGTGAAGGCCAGGACAAGCACCAAGTGCATCCCCCCCTGCATCCGCGCCCCTGCAGAGCCACCTCGAAGACCCTCCCATTATGAGGACGACTGGATCCCCACTCCTCGACTTGCTTGGGCCATGAGGCCAGGAGCAAACATTAATCAAGCACAAGTTCCAAGAAGGCTTTCTCCCCGGTGCCTGCTCTCTCCTGCTGCAGAACCTCACGAGGGACAGCAGACCAGGTTCACTGAGTCATGCAGATCTTCCAAATGGCGAGCGTATCATTACACAACATCAACACAAAAATCCTGCTTGTTCATATGACTGCTGATCTCACCAGGGAGGTCTTTACGCCTGGGGATGCTGCTGACCACAGGGTGCTTTCCAAAGTTCTCATAGTTGCTCCACAATTCAAACATTATTGCCAGTGGTTTTGCTTAATGTGACTGGCTCGATCCACTCATTTTTAAGAAACTGTCTAACAGATGCCCACATCCGAATCACCAGTTTGCCTGCCAGTTATTCTTTCGGATACAAAATCGTGTGAAGATGTATCTGGTTCAGTTTGCGACTCAAGCACATGAGAGCCTCTAGGTAAATGCCATACCTCATCCAGAATTGCAGCAGACAGCAGTATGCACACTTCCTGTGTCATCACACGGAACATTCAGAACACATGTATTCAAAGGTTAATATTTAAGAAAATTGTTTATGGCTTCATCAAGGAGATCTTAAAGTGATTTTGTTTTTAACTACAAGGGGTGGTGTGAATAATCAAGGATTGGCTCAGATGGGGGCCGCTGCCTTCATTAGGATGAAGGGTTGGCGGTTTTACGGAGTTCCCAAAGGTGAGGAAGGCAAACACTGTCTCTGTGTTATGATGCAAACAGGCTTGCATTGTGGGCGCCCGGGAAGAGAGAGGGATCCCCATGCTGACACTGCCCAGTCAAACTGGTACAACAGAAAACCAGGAAGCTTGTCATTTGTTATTCTGAGATTTTCAGTTTATTAAATTGCCCTCAGTTCTTCCCTGGGGAATGTTTGATGTGAAGAAGGAGGTAGGCACGCTCCGGCCATAGGGAAGAACGCATCCGCACATGCGCAGTGGTTGGAGCCTTGCTCAGGGCCCACTGGGCCCACAGAGCATGTGCCTTCGCCCCACGCAGCAGTCTCCTTGCACTAGGTTTTACAGATCGAAATTCTACACAAAGTATAGAACCTGTACAACACCCCGACAGGAATAATGCCGACAAGTGGTAAGGGCATACGTGGGGGCACAGCGGATGAGCTGGCCCCGCATGGGGACCCACAGCGCTGGCGAACAGCAGAGTCTCATGCTCGTGGGTTGCCGGGCAAAGTGGCCCCTGGGTTGGCTGTTTTTGTTCTGCAGATGCCAGCCCTACCGCGGCGTCCCTCACTCCCCGCTGAGAGCTCAGCTCCCACCGGCTCATCCACCTGCCACCAAGTCACCATGAGTCAGCGTCAGTAAGGGACCTAACATAGAGCTACAAAGTCCTCTTCTCCTGCAAGCTCTTCGGATAAACAGTCCAGCCTTGCAAACTACATCTACCACCGAAAAGATCACTGCTCTCCATGCACGTGGGACGGCTGCAACCTTTAGAGCAGAGCCTGGAAATCACCCATTCTGAGCATGTCAAAAGAAAACAGAACATAAAAATATTCGGCGATTGGGCTATTTTTGCTGTTTGGCAGCAATATAAAAAAAAAAAATCAGTCAAGTCTTAAGAGTATCTACACAAATTAAAAAACCGTCCGTATGCGGGAGGCATCATACACTCTTGTGGCCACAACAGAAACACTGTCCGTTCCCATCCAAGTGCCAGGCAGCCCTCACCCCTGCCACCTCCCCAGCTTCCCCTGCCACCTCCCCAGCTCAGCCAGCACGACAGCAAAGTCAACACGTACCCACTGTGTCTGCGCCGTTTCCTTCATTGACTCTGTGAAAGCGACAGCAAATCTAGTAAGATGAACAAAAATAAGGAAAACAATTAGGGCAGAATTCAATTAACTAGGGAACAGCTCTTTGGAACAAATTGTGAGAGACAAGGTAAGATGCTGAATTTCAAGTGCCATCCATCTTCATCACGTGCGGTCAGTGGCCCTCCAGTTCAGTCCCACTCACATCAAAACAAGTTGTATATGCACGAAATAAACACATGGAGCTCCACATTTCAATTTTTTGTTGTTGTTCCTTCCATGCAAGGTCAGAGAAGCAGGGAAAAAGTCCGAAAGCCAGATGCAGGGGAGATGCAGAGGATTTAGTTAATCCACTCGGAACATCCGAGGACTGGCTCTCCAGTCCACTAGCTTCAGCGCGGGAAGGCTGTGGTAAAGTATTCCCAAAATTTACCGAACGCACGTGGATCAGGAATGTTAATGTATACACTTATCAAGCGATGGCTGTTTCCAGAAGTAAGGCCCGATACACATGGGATGAACCAGGAACGTCATCTTATGGTGGCCAGGCAGTAAGAAATTGCTCGAAACTGGTGAGGGCAGGCTGGGAGAACACCAGAGTCAGCTCAAAGCATCTACCGTGGCCAAGGCGGGGATGATTTGAGCGCCCAAATACATTACAGTGACAGGTACCCCATAGAGTAAAATAAATACCCACGTGTCCATACTGATACACGCAAAGAAGTGACTAGCACATGGGACCAACGGGAACAGCTCTTCCTTTCAGAATTCCAGTGAATAAATGCCGAAGGAGTAGTGGAAATGGAAGATCCCCATGAGGCAGACTCCACAGTAACAGTGGTCACGACCAAGACGCCGTAACAGTCGATTGCTTCCCATCCCAAAGGGTGGGCTCCGGAGCCCCCCTTCCCCTGCCTGTCTTCTCCAAGCCTTCCCTCCCCACCACCTTCCACCCATCCCCGCCCGTCATTCACACGCCCCGGATTCAAGGAGGAATGAATGGAGGAAAGAGGAGACCTCTTGTCTTCTGTGTGGGCGTGACAAGGAGCGGTGAGGAGGCACTGAGGGCATCACCCCTTGCACCGGGGCCACCTTCACGCCCCGTGCCCCGCACGCAGCTGGTGTGGGCTGACCCAGCGGTGATGGGTGCGCCCGCATCCCTCGTGAGACGCTCCCCGAGCCCCTGGACGTGGGCAGGGAGCGCGAACAAACTATTCTGAGCCAGGGCTACGGCGTCATGCAAGGACAGTGCAGGGACCTTCCTTCGTGGGAAACCGTGAGGCGCCAACAAGGAGCATGGTGTGTGTAAGCTGCCACCGCGGCCCCTGGTCCCCAGGGAGTTCAACGCCCAACGGGTAGTTCCTGTTACTGTTTTCTACCAGGACTAACACGACCGCCATGACTTCCGCAAGGGGTTCGAGCACCCCACGTGGCCAGCGACCAGACTACTGGACAGCTTCAAACCTACAAAAAAGAAAAGAAGAAAAGAGGAGACCCCAAAAGTAGAGAAAAACTGGGGAGCACAGAATAAGGTCAATGACAAGAGGGTCACGCCTTTCACCCCATAACAGCGTCTCTAGATAAATGCACACTGCAGCCTGAGGATCGCTCATGGAAGGTTGATCCGCTCCTTTGGCAAGCAGGACCGCCTCCCCGCGCCTGCCCCGCATGGGCTGGGACGTCGCTCTGTGCGTTGTGACTCCCCCAGCACCTGCCTGGCACCCAGCAGGCAGGCAAAAATGCCCACAGACTGAATAAATGAACAAGCGCACGGATGGGAGTCCTGCCTTACATTCCAACAGGACGTGGGTCAGAGCAAGGGAAGAAGGAAGATCAGGTGCGTGGTGCTGACCGCGGAAGAGCCGCTCGGGCACCCCCGCCCAGCAGCTGTTGTTACTGTCCCCAGCCCGTCACCCTGTCCGCCGGCATGCCCCGTTCGCGCCGGACCAGGCATCGGGGATCTATGGCCCGGCTGAAGACCAGAGCGGACAAGGAGAGCCTCGGAGAGGCCTTCCTCAGGAAGAGTGCACACGGACACGTTTCGGGAGTCAGCGGGCGGACCGAGTGAGCTTGCTCGTTTCCGTTTATCCCGGAGTGGCAGGTAACACCTTCGTCCTTGCGGCCCCTCCCTACCGAGACCCCGGCCCTGGGTTTATACGCACCTACCTAGGCGATGACCAATAAGAGGGTTTCTGACCCCAAATCCTCAGAAAATAAATTAAAAATAGCACATTTCTTAGCAAAAAATGTAAAACTACCACTTTTGCCCTGTGGGATGAATATTGCCATTTCAAAATGTACTCACTTTCACATGTGATTTTGTTGGTCAAAAAAATCTTCAGGAACAACCGTATGAAATGACTGATACTGAGCCATTTTGACCTATAATTTCACATGGTCTAACCTGTCATGTGCTATATATTTCCTAATTGTGAAACTATTTCTTAGGCAATTTATTTCATATAAACTCTCTTTTGCTCATTTGTGGGCAATATTAAGTTTTTCTAAGGTGCACCCGGATGATCCTTCACAAAACAACCTCCACAAGTTTCAAACTCCTTACCTAATTTGGTATTCATAATTACCAAATACTTATCATATTATAATACAAGCCAAAAGCTGATGCTGAAGTAATTTCAATACTATATCATACAGAAAAAAAGTTTTAAATACAAAAAAAAGTTCAAAAATATACCTCATAAGAAAAATGTAACTATTTAAAAGTATTTAATTAAAAATGAAACTCATTATAAAGTGAGACAAGTTCAATACTTTATTTTACAGAAAAGTATGCCGTACGCTGTCTGACAAGAAATCTAGGATTCATCTGACTTCCCTGCCCACTGATTTCAATCAATACTCCTCCCAAATGAAATTCAATGTGTTTTAATAACAATGCAATGAATAATGCTAACAATAATCCATAAGATGAATTCATTCAATATCATTTCTACCTAGCAGAATTATTTCCCTTCCGTAAGACAGTGCAAACTGCATGAATCAAAAGGTAATTAATTTTCAGAGTCTAAGAGCAACAACATCGAGAAAACCTATCATGGCAGATCACGTTTCAAGATCGACCCAAACTCTGTCTACCTTTGTTTACTGTAATTCTGTCTCTCCATCTGATGCGCACACTGGCGCACTTTATTCGGACAAGGTTGTATGGCCACATTTATGTCCAGGAAGTTCTCAGGAAGAAGTGGGTCCTGAAATGGAATTATATCCCACAGTAACCCTAGTTTTCAGGAGCAAGACTGACTCCCGCCTTAGGAAAAGGCGATGGGGTTGCCTTGGGCTGTACCCTAGAACCTGGAGTGCATCCTTTGTAAAGGATCAGGGACGCTCCAGGGACAGAAAGACGCAGAGTTCTGGATTCCCTGAACACCCTTCTCAGCCGCGAGAGGGTTAGAGATGAGCCACAGACATTTCGTGGTTGGCCATTCATTGGGGGGCATGGGAGCAACCTAAGTGTCCATGGACAGACAAATGGATAAAGTGTAGTAAACACATACACTGGAATATCATTGAGCCTTGAAGAAAGAGGAAATTCTGCCATTTGCAACCACACGGCTGAACCTGGAGGACATGATGCTCAGCGAAGTGAGCCAGACACAGAAGGACAAATATTGTATGATCCCACTGATGTGAGAATCTAAAATAGTCCAACTCCTAGAAGCAGACAGTAGGATGGTGGTGGCCGGGAGCCGGGGGAGGCAGGAACAGGAAGAGATTCATCCAAGGGCACGAGGTTTCACTGGTACAAGGTGAGCAGGTCCTGGAGGCCTCCTCAGTTAACGATGCTGTAAGGGACACTTAGGAGTTTGCGAAGAGGGTAGATTTCATGTTAAGTGCGCTTATCACGATAATAATAACAGAGAGGGTGGGAGGAAGCTCTCGGAGGGGACAGAGGTGTTTATGCCACAGACCCTGATGATGGTTTCACTGACGGGGACTCATCTTCAAACTCATCGAGCTGTTTACATACATTAAGTACAGCTCTTTGCATGTCAGTCATGCCTCAACCAAGTGGTTTTTTATTTTTATTTGTTTTAAGATTTTATTTATTTATTTGACAGAGAGAGACACAGTGAGAGAGGGAACACAAGCAGGGGGAGCGGGAGAGGGAGAAGCAGACTCCCCGCAGAGCAGGGAGCCCGATGCGGGGCTCGATCCAGGACCCTGGGACCATGACCCGAGCCGAAGGCAGACGCTTAACGACTGAGCCACCCAGGCGCCCCAACCAAGTGGTTTTTTAAATAACTAATAAGGCGGTTTGTCCACATCAAAAAAAAAAAAAAATCGATCGCCTGCTTTGTATTGTTTTTGTTTTGTTTTGTTTTGTTTTTACAACGATTCAAAAATTTACAAGAGCTGAGAGGTTGAGGTCTTGGTAAACTTTGGGTTCAGGGTGATTCCACGGTCAGGTAAGACTTGCTTGCTCTGTGGCCCGGGAGGGACAGACCACGTGGCACTGTCTCGACCCTTCCGTGGAATCACCCCAGGAAGCCTGCCAGCCGCCTCTTCACTGATGAACAGAAGAGCTCTTGGCTTTAGGCCAAGTGACTATTTGGGTTTTGTTCTGACTTCTTTTTAAACAACTTTCATATGGACATAGAGGATTTCTATACTGTTATTATGTTACGTGTTATGATCATCTTCATGTTACAGAGGAATGGGGGTGATTTCCCCGCCTGTCCTTCTAGCTCACAATGCTGTACAAATATGATTTTCCAAGTGTGCCCGGACAAGGGAAACGTTGGGGAGTGCAGCTCCGGATTCTGGACTGGGGCAGCAACTCCCCACCCCAGGGGCTAGAAACATGTCCGACGGCAGCTGCAGCGGCCGGCAGGTGTCGCCGACGGGCAGTGACCAGCTGGGCTCCGGGACGTGCAGCAGGGCCCCCACGATGAATGACTGTCCTGCCCCAAATGCCCACTGTGACCCCCTCCCAGACGGTTTTACAGAGCTCAGAAATCCACGGAGCTCCGAGCCAGGCCCCAAACATTCAGAGTCCATGCTGATGCATGTGCTCAAGGAGCTGGAGCGGTGTGTGCTGTTCCCTAAGCGGACCACAGTGCGGCGCCGTCCCCCGGCAGGACTACTGAGGACGTTGGCCCAAAGTGAACTGTCGCTGAACAGTTATTCCCATACAAGAAGTTGTTTACCGTGACTCTTCGTGGCAAAATTAAAATGTGCAAATGAAAGGAAAAAAAATGAAATGAGAAAAAGAGACTGGCTTTATTATGGTAAGATGGGAATCTCCCAGACAACAGCCTTCCTAATCTTTTGGCTTCAGCGAACTCCCCCCAAATGCTTAACTCCTGTGAGGTTCTCTTTGGCATTACCTGGCTTCTTCGAGGACCTTTCCCATCACTTCATTTTTTTCCCTCTGGTTAACATCTTCATTTAAATCAGTTCCACCAAAGATGATTCCAAAAGGGATTCCATGACCTGCAAAATTACGACAGTTAACGAAGCAGAGCGTAGCTTTGGAAACAGCCCTCGCCATCCCGTCCCAGAGCAAAGGTGAAACCGTGTTCCCTCAACTTGGGGGACCGTGTTTTGGTGTTTGTTTCATTTTATCCAGCTTACCTGAGGAGCAGAATAGGAATCACTATTATACATAACAGGACATGGGGATTAATCATGTCAGACCCCTGGTGCCAGCACCATTTAAAATCAATTAGCTTTACATTTTAACAAATGAAAAATAGTGCTGGCCACCATCTATCAAAACCAAGCTGATTGCTCCCGGGAAATGAGCATTTATGACAGAAAAAGAGCAGGTTAAATGCAGCCCGGCTGGGGATCCCAGCAGCAGGTGCCGTGGTCCCGAGGACCCAGGGGAGATGTCAGGCACCCAGGCCACGATGACTTCAGGGAGCATGCAGCTCTTTGTCCTGCGAACCACACACAAGTGCGTGTGACGTGTGGGTGGATTCACCAGGGAGCAAGTCTGTTCTGTGCCGGTGACAGGCTTAGTCAAGGGACGTTTGATGAGCACAGACAAATGAGGCATCAGGCGTGCACAGATCGAGCTAAATGATGTGCTCGGCAGAAGCCACTCCAAAGGGACTTCCAAAGGTCAACCAAAAATTTCAAGAGACACTGGTTGGCAAACCACCAACTAGACCAGACCTGAGAGGGCTTTTTCGAACGAGCGATCCCTCCTGAGATTCAGTAGGTCACTCAAAGGGTACTCTTCTTTCCTTTTATTTGCCTTAGAATTATTCCTGTCAATGCAAATGAGCAGATTCTCTTTTTTCTCTCTGGTGAGGTGGCTCTTCCCCTGGAATCTGATGGCTACGAATTCAGCCTCTAGATACTAAAGCCCAACAGTAGCACCCACAGGCACAGCGAGGCTGCTAGGGAGAGCAAAAGACGGAAAACAACTCAGACACGTTGGTGAAGACCAGCCTTTAAAAAAAAAAGAAAAAATGGAAGCATATGGGGTTGTGTGTATGTGTACACAGACATAAAAAGACTGAAAAAAATCTATCACATGAGAAAAATCAAGTGCAAGCTGGTTAACAGAGTATGCATGTATTGTGTAAAAATGATAAACATTCATATATGTGTGTGTGTGTGCATATATATATATATATATATATATATATATATATATAAACTCAATGAACGAATACGCAGCACACAGGGGGATGTTGAGAGACAGTGAACGGGTTTAGCATGTAGGACTGACACGAAGCTCTGGGGGCCCGAGGGAGGTGTGAGGTGGGAAGAATAATGACCCCCAAAGATGTCTGTTCCTAATTCCTGGATCCTAGAAATGTTTCAGGGGAAAGGCAAATTAGGCTATTTAGAATTGAGGGTGCCAGTCAGCTAACCCTGAATGGGAGAGATTATCCTGGACCATCCAGGTGGGGCAGTGTAATCACGGGGTCCTTACATGTGGAGGAGGCAGGCAGAGGAGGAGCTCCCCGAGCTGCCGTGTCTGGTGGGGGGGCACTGGCCCGGCCGGTGCGGACTCTGAGGTTGGGAGGGTCCATGAACCAGGGAGTGTGGGTCCCTCCAGGAGGCGGAAAATAAGGAAGCGGATTTGCCACAGAAGACTCCACACAGAAACACAGTCCCGCCAACATCTTGGTTTTAGCCACGTGAGACCCATTTCCGCTTTCTGACCTTGAGCTAGAGGACAACAAACGTGTGTTTTATGCCACTGGGTTTGTGGTAAATCGTGACAACGCAATAGGAAACTAATACAGCACCCCTCCCCATAAAAACTGCCAGTTTAGGAAAATTAGGGTCAGAAAAATCGCAGAAAAAGCATTTTTTCAGTGAAATCTCCAAAGACAGAACTGTAGACACCAGAAAGATACACACCGAGCACCACAGACGCTGCTCCAAAGTTATGAGAACATTCAGTAATTAAGTGATCGGCCTGCGAGCGGCCTGCCTACTGGCAACCGCTCAAATACATCAAATCAAACTGAGTAAGAAAAAACGTCAGACTTTGACTCCACACCATCCTGGGTCAGAATCTGGTTCTCCACTTGGAAAATGTACAACTTTGAGCGAGTCACCAGGTTTCTCTGAACCTCGGCCATCTCATCGGTGAAAAGGAGGTCAAGCTAATTAGCTGACTTACCCGTGCGGTTAAATGACTCAGTACATATGACGCACACACACAGGACGGACTCTGTATGTGATACTGGTGTCACCGTGCTTTCCGCCGAACACGTTTTGTAAATATATAAATCCAGAAGCTCTCTGAATTAAATTAGCACTCGGGGGAATGGAATGTGGGATATTTCATTTGCTTTCCTATTTTTTCAATATTCATTCTATTGATGAGAAGACAAAGCTTTAAATAAGTTAAAGTGTTAGTCTTAATGGCAATGCATCCATAATTATGAGTGGAAAATTCTAGAAGTCCTCTGCTACAGCATGATGCATATAAAATGTCTGCAAACTCCTACTGACCCTTCAAAACCTCACTCAGGCATGCCCTCCTCTCTGAAGTCTTCTCCGGGTCCATCGGAAGTAAATCCTCCCACTCCAATGCCATACCACGTATCATAGGCTTTAGGATTGATTTGTAGACTGGAAAATCCTCGAGAACAGGCACCATGGCTTATTAATTTTGTACCCCTTGCTCCTGATACAATGCCTGCTACAAGTTAAATCTTCAAACAGCCTTTGTGGAAATGAACTGAGCCTGAAAAGTGGTCTACAAACTACTTTCCAAGTGCATTTACTTGGAGCCGCCCAAGCAATTGGCCCTATTTCATCGATCAGTGCCTCTGCTGAAAATTTGTCATTCCCAGAAGTCTGCTGAGAAAAAACATCACAGTTTCCTGAACCTGGCTCTTTAATCAGCCACCTGACTTCACCTGCTTCCTCAGCAGGTTCAAGCCTGAAGCCGATTCTCAATGAGAAAAAGAAAGAGCTTCATGAAAGTGCTTCTCATCCAGTTTTCTGCCACTGTCGGATCACTGGGCACGTTTTCTTTGTGTGCCATTTATGCCAGATGAAGGAGAGCCCAGGAAGCATCCTGCATGGGAGCAGACTTCTATTACGTTTTAGACGGGGATAGCTACAAAGTTCTCTTCCCATGCACTTGGAAGACTGGTAGGTGTACACGTCGAACGCCTTTCACAGACATGTCCAAGACGGAAGAACATGTGCAACATGTTACTTCAAAATTAATCCGGTAATTGGTCCATGACTTAAATAAAACATTAAGATTCATATTTAGAAAAAAAATACTTGCATTGTGCCTGCAAAATAGCTACAATAAATATTAATATTGTTACGGCGCTATTTCTCATCGCTTGAATATTCTTCTTAGCAATTTTATTTACTTAATTATTCACTCAGAAAATACTGGTTTTTAAAAAGAAAAGCAAGCTTCCATTTGTCCATGCCGTTAAGGTTTTATTTAGATATATTTACTATGCACAGACATGTAAGTGTGGCCAGTTATTAATTGCCAATATGTATCTGCAGTAAAAAGGCACAGATACATCCTGTGGGGAGGCCGTGCTACACTTAGAAAATCCTAAAGTGAACGGGCTCTGCAGACGCCTGCTCATCACAACGTCGTTTACAATTGAGGGGGGTAGTGCAAACAGATAGATATGACTGTTCCTAGTCATGCCGTCAAAGGCCATTCAATGACGGCGGAAGTGTTCCTGACACCAGTAGGTAAGACAGGTTGCTAAACTGTGGTACGATCGCGATTTTAGAAATACAGCCACAAATTGCAGAGAAAGATGAGAATGTCAGACACAGCATCCACGGTGCTTAGCCCAGGGAGCATCAATTAATATTACTTTAAAAGAAGTTGCAAGTTTATATTGTAAGAGTGGATCTTTTTTCTGTAAAGTTAATTTTGAAGAAAAACACAAAATCGGTAAAACCGAATACGTCCAGGAAATAGCAGGCACATCTGGGTAGTGAAATTCAAGGGGCTCTATCTCCTTCTTTGTACTTGTGGGAAGTTTCTAAATCATGTAACTTTTTTTTTTAATCATTAAATGCTCTATATTTTAATATAGTTTCATCTAGGGGTGCCTGGGTGGTGCCGTCGGTTAAGTGTCCGACTCTTAGTTTTGGCTCAGGTTGTGATCTTAAGGTCGTGAGATCGAGCCCCGAGTTGGGCTCTGCGCTGAACATGGAGTCGGCTTGAGATCCTCTCCCTCTGCCCCTCCCGCTCATGCTCTCTCCCTGTCTAAAATAAATAAATCTTAAAAAATATATATCTTTAAAATCTGTAATAGTTGAATCCATGGAAGACTTAGAAATGTCGGAAATCATGCCCCACCGGCTGTCAGCACAGGGCAGCTCAGCGTAGAGAACGGAGGAGACAGAGGCCCCTCGATGCATCGGGTGAGAATCACAAGGTGTGCAGCACCTTCTCTACCTGCCGACGGCGGTTGTGATGCTGTTCATGGCTGGCTGCTCAGGGAGAGGGTGCTTTCAAAGAGATGAGCTTGAGGAATACGTAAAGACCATGGAGACAACAACTGGGAATAAGCAGAAGTCAAACTAAGTTTACTAACAGTGGTGCTGCTTCGGGTCCTGGCATTTGTTAGACCAAAGCAGGAAGACCCGGTCCCCTCGTGCCACGGGTTCTAGACAGGGCTTCTCCCCTCCTACCACTTGTGAGAGAGGCAAAGCTTTAGCTGACTTTGTGCTTTTCCTCCATTTAGTTGAAGCAAAGGCCAAGAAATGGCAAAATGGAGAAGAACTGGACTTTGAAGGAGAAAACCTGGTGATATGACCAGAGCGAGAGGAAACAGGTCCTTCCATCTGTTGGCTGAGCACGGACTGGACTGACCTTTCTGGGGCATGTCCCTGTCAATCCCAATGAAAGATACACAGTCCTCTGGCCACAGGTTATTCGAGGAATTTAATCCACCAAAATCCCCCCAGAACAAAGTAAAAAATACAATCAAACTTGCTGTGGCTTTACCTGCAATAGCAAAACATGAGACAGATTTTTAATAAACATGGTGCATTCTTCTGGTGGAATACCACACAGCCAGGAAAAAAGGCAGGGGGAGCTCTGCTGATTTGGAAAGATCACTCAGCTGTGTACTTACAGCGTCGTCCCATTTGTGGACATATAGCATACTCCACGTGTATGTGTGCAAGACATTAAAAACACATAGTCTGATGGACAATAATACACCTGATGGTAAACAGATTTCACCAACTCTAGTGCCTGAAGCCTTATGAGTGCACAACTGACCTACAACGGTCAGTGACAACCTTGTAAAGACTTCCAAGAGCTTTAAGAGCTATGAACGGTACCTTGGCCCCTGCACTTCCTTCCTATTTTGAGATCGACCTCAGACTCTGTTTCCCAGGACACTTGCAACAGAATCCCAAGTCATGCTTGTTCAGAGGAAAAGAGCTCTTGGGAGTAAGACTTTCACGAACACCATCCCCACTGATAGAAGCAGTTTGTGCTGATGGTTCAAGCGGGGTTGCAAAGATAAGGAGACACAGGTATATTCTCATAGGTTCCTAAGCTGAGACGTCCATACAGAGATATTCGCTGCCATGACTGTGGGAGAAAAACATGGAAGACAACTCCGATGTCCCTTAATCGAAGACTGGCAAGATGATGGGTGTTCCCATGCTTGGAAGGTTCTGCAAGCATTGACAGAAGGAGGCAGATCTGTACACGTGTGGCTGCAGAAAAATCTCCAGATGCATCGTGGTAAAAAGCAAGACGCTATTTATAGCATGCTCCCACTCATGTTTTTTTTCAAGGAGGAGATACGTACAGATATGTGCCTGGGCTTACATGGAGGCCAGCCCCTGGTGGTCACGCTCAATGACGTCCCCTCCCATGCCCCAGAGGGCTGATTGGTGTAAGCAGGAGATGCTCTGGAACCTAGGGCTTCCAAGGATGGGTCATAATAGGCCAATCAGCTTCCAATGCGCTTTCCCTTCGATGGCTGTCTCTTGGAGAAGCTGGCTGCCATGTCTTGAGGACACTCAGCAACCTCGGCAGAGGCCCACGTGGTGAGAAACTGGGGCCTCCTGCTGACAGCAGGTGGCTCGTGTGGGACCAGTCAGGCCTCCAGACGACTCAGCCTCAGCCGGAGCACATCCTACGTGGTCTTGACTACAGCCTCACCAGAGACCCTGAGACAGAATCAGCACAGCTGTTTCTGAATTCCAGACCCACGGAAACTATTACATATAAATGCATTATATTACATATAAATGCATATAAATGCAAGTCACTACTAGTCACCCACGGAAACTATTACATATAAATGCAAGTCACTCACTTTCGGGGGTAATTTGTTACATAATGACAGATAACTAGCACAGTCCCTGTAATACATTTTCAGGAGAATACACAAGGAAATGATAACTAGTTGTCTCCGCGGATAACAAATTAGACAGCTGGAATGAGAAGTGGGACAAAGGTTTCCGTTTTGTGCTTGATCATTGTACATTCACTCTGTGCTGGGGGAGATTGAAGTGGGCATGTAGCAGCTTAGATTTTAAAAACAGCACCTTGTCCAATGTGCCCAGGCAGGAAGCGAGCATCCAGTGAGGCCCCGGCCAGTGAGCCCCAGCTCCCTGTTCCGGGCAGGAGGTGGGAGGGAGAGCAGGAAGAGGAAGTGAGGCAGAAAGTCACCTTTAGCAATGAGACTGCCGAAAATTTCCGAAGCTTGGCACATTCTGCTGACGGAAGCTCCATTCTCCTATGAAGATGACCGTAGATCATTTTGGCCCTCAAATGACATCCCGCCTCCTGAAATGTGATGCCACCGCCATGTCAGTTAATTCACGTTTGGGAAAAGGCACTCATCGGTCAGCTACAACGCAGTGGTCTCTTCTGCCTTCACTTGGTGCCTCTGTGCTTTCACGGAAGTCACATCGGCCTCGGGAGTGTTAAGAAGAAAGAGCCCCCAGCTGTAGCTGAAGTCAAAACGAGGACTGCGTGCATGTCCTTTCAGTGACCGAGGGAACTGTGTTTTAAGGTCCCCCGGGGACTGAGCTGTCAAGTTTTTAAGAGAGAGGGTACTGTTGTTCAACTGCACTATTTACTACTAATTAAGAGCTCACACTCTGTGAAGTTGCATCAAATACTTTGCAGTTTGGGGTGCCTGGCTGGCTCAGCCTGAGAGCACTGGACTCTGGGTTTGTTTTTTTTTAATTTATTTAAATTAAATTTAGTTAGCATATAGTGTATTATTCGTTCCGGGGGCAGAATTTAGTGACTCATCAGTTTCGTATAACACCCAGTGCTCATTACATCACATGTCCTCCTTAAAGCCCCTCACCCAGGTACCCCATCCCCCAACGCCCCTCCCCTCCAGCAACCCTCAGTTTGTTTGCTATGATTAAGAGTCTCTTGTGGTTTGCCTCCCTCTCTGTTTTTGTCATTTTTCCTTTCCTTTCCCTATGTTCATCTGTTTTCTTTCTTAAATCCCACATAGGACTGAGATCATACGATAATTATCTTTCTCTGATTGACTTATTTCGCTGAGCATAATACCCTCCAGTTCCATCCACATTGTTGCAAATGGCAGGATCTCAGGGTTCCGAGTGCAAGTACCATGTTGGATGTAGAGCTTACTTAAAAAAATACATACTTTGCTGGTCTGGGTCAAGTAGCGATGTAAATCATTTCTGTGCGGTGGTGATGGTTAACGCTATGTCTGAGCTCAGGGACAACCAGACAGCCGGTAAAGCATTATTTCTGCATGTGTCTGTGGGGGTGTTTCCGGCTGAGACTAGCATTTGAATTGGCAGAGGGAGGAAGATGGCCGTCCTCACTGAGGCAGGTGGGTGTTACCCCATCTGCTCAAGGCCTCTGGAGCAGAAGGGCGAGGTTGAGCCGAGACATGCGTCCTCCCCCATGCCGGCTCCCAGCTCTCGGGCTTTCCGACTCAAACAGCGACTGACACCAGCAGCCCCCAGATTCTCAGACCTTCAGACCCGGACGGAAAGGGTCTCCAGCTTCCAGAGGGCAGGCCGCGAGACTTCTGGGCCTCCGTCATCCCGTAAGCCCGTCTCCGTGATAAATCTCCTCTTCTGTGTGTCTGTACATGTCCTCCTGGGCTCGTCTCTCTGGAGAGCCCTGACTAATGTCCCGGAGGGCCCATCGCACGTGACCCTGCTCCGTAGCTGACCTAGCAACCTAGTTTCATATTTTCCATTAAAGCACCCACTCAACTCCCAGTTCCTCAGGTGCTCTTTAAGCTACTTCAGGATCTTAGTGTTTGCCTTGTTAGTAAATCAGTGGAATAAAATGTTTCATACGTGCCCATTCTGTGTTTCTAAGAGGCGCGTATGTTCGACTTTTGAAAATTATACTCTGAGTGAGGAGCTGTACATCAGGACATTCAGGACAGCTCTCCGGGGAGGCGGTACAACGGCTTCAGCACACATCCGTTCTTGTCGGCAGAGTTACATCCTTTTGGAAAATGAGGCCCTAAGAAGGACAACGCAAAGAAGATGAGGGTGATCCTTCCAGGTTTGAACCGGGTCAACAGGATGAACTGAGTTCTCAGCTCTGTTGTGTCTTTTTAAAGATTTATTTATTCATGAGAGAGACAGACGGAGAGAGAGCCCGAGCAGGGGGAGCAGCAGAGGCCGAGGGAGACGCAGGCTTCCCGCCGAGCAGGAGCCCAGTGGCGTGGGGCTCGATCCCAGGACCCCGGGATCATGACCTGAGCCGAAGGCAGACGCTTCACCGACGGGCCGCCCAGGCGCCCCCCAACTGTTTTATTTGACGCTGTAAGTGCCTCTGGTTTGCATGATTTCCAGTGTTTCACCTTTGGACAGAAAGATTACCTTGCAAGAGTCGGCCTCCTCTGTACAGGTGAAGAGCCAGGGCTGCCTCCAAGTTCTCAGCCTTGATGAGCTGGGCGGTTTCAGATGAGCTCTCCAGGTCAAAGGCATCTTTCAGAAGACATACATGGCCGGCAGCTTCTAGATGGTCCCTTTACCAAAAAATACAAACAGAGAAAGAAAAAGATGAGGGCAAAGGATAAATATGCCACAGGTGGCTACGGGGACGAACATCTGAAATCAAAAGATTATTTAAATCAAAAAGTTAATAAACTGTATCTTCTGAATTGTCCTGTAGGGGCAACCCTCCTAAAACACAGGACAAGGCTCACCATCACTGGCAATAATGATTCGCCCACCAGTGTCTGGTCCCTGGGACCTCGGTGGGGACCAAGGCCAGCGGGATGAGGGCTAATTCAGTCCTGAGACAAAAGGCACACACTGAGAGTATTCAGTGGCATTTGCTGGGCCAGAAAGCTCCTTTTCTAAATTTCCTTGACTCCACCTTTTTTCTCCTGTCCCTTAATTATGGATGATACCCAAAGTTTGCTTTTAGGCATCTGACATCCAGTTCTTAATAAAGACTTCCAAAGCCACCCATTATCACAGCTTCCAAAGATATTTCATGGCCTTTCCATTCTGCCTCCAAAATATCTTTCAAGAACGTATCTTTCTTTTCATCCTGGTTCAGCTCCTTGTAACATAAATCTAAAATACAAATCTAATAAAAGAAATTTTCTGAATGATGACACAGCATGAGCAAAATCAAAAGACAGATAAGAAACTGAGAAAGACTACTTAAAACGCTTAACAGAAAGAAGAAGCTAATTTACTTAATAAATAAAGAGCTCTCATAAATCAATAAGAAAAAAAAACAAGTAACAACTTGATGGCAAATTAGGGATGGACCTAAAATTGCAGGCCCTCGAAAAAGAAATTCAACTGGGCTTTTAGATACAGGAAATGGTGCTGGACTTCAGTCATCTTTTTTACGTAGAATATTTGTAAAGATCAAAAGTCTGCCTAAGGCTTTGTGAAATAAACACGCCTGTCCATTATTCTGAGCGGGTAAACTGGTACAAATTCTGGTGGGCAATGAAGCCACAGCTAGGGTACTTCAGACGCACAAACTGTCACCAAACACCTCCACTTCCAGGAATCAATTCCCAAACTACCCTTGGATATGCGTGCAAAAACATGCCCCCCAGACGAGGTTCTGCAGCTGCGTCTCACTCCCCAAACAGACTGGACACAACCTCAGTGCGCGTCAGTAGGGAACTTGCTACATTAAGGCACGTTCGACACCACCAAGCTCTGCTGCCAAAAAAGGGATGCAGTAGATCGCGGTGAAATACAGTTGACTCCTGAACGACGTGGGGGTTGGGGCGTCACCACCTCCACATGCAGTCAAAAATCCACATATAACTCTGACTCCCCCAAAACTTCACTAACCGCCTACTGCTGACTGGAAGCCTTCCCACTAACATAAACAGTTGATTAACACAGATGTCGCATGTCATACATATTATATACTATATTCTTACAATAAACTGGAGAAAAGAAAAGGTTATTTGGGAAATCATAAGGAAGAGAAAATATATTTACAGTCCTGTACTCTATTTATAGAAAAAAAAACTCCACATGTAAGTGGACCCATGCAGTTCAAACCCCGAGTTGTTCAAGGGTCAAGTGTAATTTAGCATCAACTCCAAGATAATGTCATTAATGAAGAGGAGGTGAAGTGAAGAATACTTTGTGTATATATAGTGTGTGTGCATGGAGTATCTGTAGGGCACATAAGAAATAGATACCAATGATTATGTCTACGGAGGAGAAACAGGGACACGCCCTTTCGTGTTGCCGGATTTTACGCATGGGCAGATGTTATATTTTATAATTGTTGGAGGTGTGTGTGCACGTGTACATCAACGAACCCACCCGGGGCCTCCCAGGGTAGCCAGCTCAGCCATCAACTCTGGGAGAATGGGGCCCGAATCTGCCTTGCTTCTTGAATGAACTGATGGCTGAATGCGTCTCCGGGATCAAGTCCAAACGCCTTAGCCTGGCACGCAGTGGGCGCCCTTCATGGCCCGCGTGCCGGCCGCCCCCCACTCCACCCACCTTAGCTCCAGACCTACTCTTCTACTTGCAAGATGCCCAATTCAGCGTGCATTCTGAGTGCCCGTGGCCATGACTGTCCATTTCCTAATGCAAGCTCCTGTGAGATCCCACAGCCCCCGATCCCACCACACATCTGTTCCCCCACCACCATTGTGCAGAGTCTGTCTTGCGATCCTTCACATCGCACTTAGGCTTCCATTACAAAGCCAGCACGTAGGTGACCATCAAGTTCCCTGAAAATTACCCTCAAGCATCTCTAAAATCATCCAGAAGTCGCTCTACTACAAAGTTCAAATCCAACATAGCCCTTTTTTTTTTTTTTTTTACTCCAGCCATAAAACAGATTGTTATTTCTTTAGCTAAACACCAGGTGAACTAGGGGCTTGCATTTAGGAGTAATAGTGTACAAAACAAATAAGGATAAGAATAATAAAAGAATGAAGGAGCTAGAATCTTCAAGCAAAGTGGTCATAAAATGGCCAAGTTGTTTGCGATGTGGGAGCCACACACAAGCTCAGGAACTTTTTTTTTTAAGATTTTATTTATTTATTTGAGAGAGAGAGCATGAGGGGGGGAGGGTCAGAGGGAGAAGCAGACTCCCCACTGAGCAGGGAGCCCGATGCGGGACTCGATCCCGGGACTCCAGGATCATGACCTGAGCCGAAGGCAGACGCCCAACCGACTGAGCCACCCAGGCACCCTTTCTTTTTTTTTTTTTTAATATTTTATTTATTTATTTGACACAGAGAGAAAGACAGCGAGAGAGGGAACACAAGCAGGGGGAGAGGCAGAGGGAGAAGCAGGCTTCCCGCTGAGCAGGGAGCCCAACGTGGGACTCCATCCCAGGACCCCGGGATCATGACCCGAGCCGAAGGCAGACGCTTAACGACTGAGCCACCCAGGCGCCCGTGCTCAGGAACTCTTGAGGCAAGAGCAGATTCAAACATCTTGCTCACACCCACCCTGGGGAGTAGGGTGAGCATCATCACCTGCGCTACTCTGCAAATGATAATTGTTCTCTCTCTCTGTAATTAAATGCACAATGCTGCAGCTGTCACTGGGCAAATAAGAAGCGGAGATCTTGCTTAAGCTATTGAAGTACAACGAGTATCTCCATCTTACCATCTCCACTGTTAATGCTGATCAGTCATTATTAGCCGGGAACACTGCCCTCCCCACCTCACCCCACCTCAACTCTTCTGCAAGGGCTGTGAGCAAGGGACAAACAGAGCCAGCTTTCATCAGCCTCAAAGTTAGTATTTTACAAAAATAAGAATCCAGTGTGCTTCTGAGCATGGGTGAGTAGTTGTTATTCCATTTTCTTAAAACTCTAGGAAATGAGAAACCAAAAACGAATGTGTTGATAAATGGAAAAGAAGCAGTTTGATTTCTACTTAGAGAATCCATTCCTGAGAGATTTCTGTCTTAGGAAGAATTGATAAGATAGGACATATGGAATGGAGGTGGTTAGGTACACATAATGGGTTGTTCTTGGTCTTTTAAACATATTTTTAAATGACATTTCAACACTAACGTTATGATCTTATAAATATCCCAAAACAATTTTTTTTAATCTTAATTCTTTGTGACTAAGAGTTTACCCTTGTTTCTGGTTGACTTTTCATGCCCTTAAGCTGCTCTGTCCCTCTTCCTTCTTCAAGTGATCATGTGATTCAAATAAACTCTGTGAGCACCTAATATGTCCAAGGAGTTCTGGTTTATTTGAAGGCTTTTTTTTTTAATTTTATTTATTTGAGAGAGAGAGAGAGAGAGAGAGAACACAAGCGGTGGGGAGGAGCAGAGGGAGAAGCAGATTCCTGCTGAGCGGAGAACCCGACGTGGGACTCGATCCCAGGATCCTGAGATCATGACCTGAGCCGAAGGCAGATGCTTAACCGACTGAGCCACGTAGGTGCCCCGACTGAAGGCTGTTTTGAGAAGGAATGCATCTCTCACAAATTAAGAGATCTTAAGCACGATTTGGCAGTTCTGGGAAGAGATGAACCCATTTGCACATGCCCGACTTCAGATTCAGTAGGATTTACCTGCTTCCACCTGGCTGAAAACCATCCTCTAACTGAGGGAATAGAGAACCTTGATCATTTGTGTGTGTTTAACTTAGGCAAACTTGCATAAACTATGATGTCTGGATTAAAAAAATTGCAGGAGGAACTTAACGAGGGTAGGCAATACCAACTGCATTCTGTTCTATCCCCATGTGACCCTGTGTGACCCTGAGATGGGAACAGGGCCCTAGTACTCTTCAGGGCTGTCCCACCCCGTGGGCCTCTCAGGGCGTGAGCCCCTGGCCAGGCCCAGTGACACAGCACCTACGGGGGAGAAGCAGGGATGTGCTGTTTCTGGTGGGGGAAAGTTGGCGGGGGCTGGAGTAAAATGGTGCTCTCTGGACAGTATTTCAAGAATTTCTGATGTATAAAAGAAATCATGCTGGTCTTGGAATGATGAGGGTGCTCATGAAGATGCAGGCCCTTGTGTGACAGCCTGCACAAATTCACAGGTTCTAGTTTGGAATGGTGAACTAGAGAGGACACTGCCCCATGTAACCTTCTGTGGATTAAGGGAGATAACAACACATTTGCAGGACAGCGTGTTACTTAGAATAGTGCTGTCAATGTGTTTTCTAAACTGTAAAGTATATCTACCTTTTAAATGGGATTCTGGTGCTCAAGAGATTACTGTGGTGAAGCCAGTCTTTTTAAAAGAATGCAAAGTTCCACGAGAAAACAGGCAAAATGACCAGATCAGGAAGTGTCCCAAGCCCCAGTGTCTGCTGAGATGGGGCTAATGAAATATGAATGGGGTTGTGGGGGGAGGCTAGTGACAACCATGAGGCGTGATGAGCTCGCCTGAAGAGAGATGCGCTAAGGGCCTGAAGAGAGATGCGCTAAGTGTAAAATATGCACACGGCTCACTAATAATTTCTGTATTGATGACATATTGACATGGTATTTGGAAATACTGAGTTCAAAAGAATGTATTACAATTAATTTTATCCATTTCTTTGTGCTTTGTTTAATGTGACCACCAGAATATGTAAAATGACAGGGGCAGTCAAATTGCTTCTATTGGTACCAGGCAGACATGCTCCTCACCATTGCCGGTTCTGCCATCTTACCAAGGGAGGATTGGTATTTGAATTTCTATGGAAAACTTCCTGATTTTAATGTTCCCAAATGTATTTCTTGCTCCTTCAGTGCCAACATTTGTTATTCCCTTAAATCTTCAAAAGTTCACGGACGTCTGCCGTCTGCTTTCCCCCTTCCTTTATGAGAATTAGTGAAGCTCTCACACCTGCCGGGTCTGTGGCCTCGAGTGTGCATTCCCATGTCCCCTCTTCCCAAAACTGTGAATGTCCCTGTCACCCATCTGAGTGGGAAGTGCCCCAGCCCCAGGTAGAGGTGCTCCTGCTGGCTCAGGGCAATCAGAGCACCCCAGCTGGCGGTCCTCCCACCACAGACATGCAGCTCTAGGACTTGGGGGCCCTCACTTGCCCCTGCAGAGACTCAGACCCTCCTTCTTGCAAGGCCTGACATGGGGGGTGCCGGCAAGGAAAACCTAGCAAGAATGGGAAGTGGACCCAAGAAGGGGCAAGAAGCAGACTCCCGTCCTTAGCATCTTAGCTGCAAAATCAAGCCTGAAGACTGCCCCACCTCCAGACCTTTTATCGGATAAGCCGCTAAATTCCCTTCATTGTCCAGGCAGTTGGGGTTGGGTTTCCACTTACTTAAAGCTGAAAATCTCTGATACCACTGCAGACAAGCAGCTTAGAGCTTTTATTGGCATTTGATACAGAACTTGCTTGCTACATCCAGCTCTTTCTAAAGTCATCCAGTCTCTGAGCACAATCATTATCTTTCCCCAGGTTCCTCAATCACTTCAACCACAAAGACCTCTGACCTCATAGAGCTCCCAGGCCCCGGCCTCCCCGCCTGCCGCCAGGAGCCCCTCCTGCGTGTCCTCCCAGCCCCACAAAGACTCCTTTTCCTGTGGGTCTAGTGAGGTGCTTGTCAATCCCTTAACCCCTCCTCTGCTGGCCTTTTGTAGCGCCCAAGGTACGTCTGGCAAGGCAAGCCCAGGACGCCCCAGCCACCCACCTCCTGGTGGCCGCCGCTGCAGTGGCGTGGGAGAGTGTGGTGGGGTGGGACGGCCGCGGCTCGGGCCCATGATTTCGGGGACCCCTCGTATCACCGGGGTGGCTACCCACCCTTGGAACTTGAACATGCCCCTCCCTTGGCTCCCCCAGAGCCACCTGCTTCCCAGCCCCATGTCTGCCCGTCGCAGCCCTGGCTCTGGGCCAGAAGTGTCCCCATGGTCGGACGGGCACACGGGGCATGCTAGCAGCACACAGCCCCCCGTGGGCGTGTGGCCGCACTCCCTGAACACGGGGCTGGGTGCTCACCAGGCCGCAGAGCCAGCCCTCTCCTCTCCCAGGCCTGCGGTCCTGTGGGCGCTCTGTGTCCAGAACCCTCACCGTGGCTCCACCTGCCAAGCCAGCTACTCTCAGGCCGCACTGCTTCTCCCACCCCTGGGCCTCCGCACAGATGGTTCCCATGGCCGGGAATGCCATTCCCAGCTATATCTCGGTCCTCACCGAGCTCACCTGCCGGGCTCTGGCTTAGAGAGTCATCCATTACCTAGCCCATCTATCAGCGTGTGCACTATTCCCTTCCACTTCCCAAGTGGCCTCCACCCGAGGATCGAGGATGAGACAAACACAACGTGGTGCCCACCCCTGGAACGCCTCGGCTATCAGAGGGTCCGGCAGTGACGCGTATGCACAGTCCTCGGGAAGGGCCGCATGGGGGGTGGTCACATTTACGGGGGTGTGCAGGAGAAACAGAGCCACGCAGACAGAGAGCAGACGAGTGGGGGCCGGGGCATCTGGTGAGACAAATGTTCTGGAATCAGACCGTAGAGATGACTCCGTGACTTTACGAATATACTAAAAACCACTGAATTGCACACCTTGAAAGTGTGAATTTTTTTGGTACATGAACTATATCTCAATAAAGCAAAGTGTAGGAGAAAGAAAAAGCTATTTCTCAGGGGAGCTCCCCAGACCCTCCAGAAGGCCTGCTCCTTTCATCACCCTGCACTTCTTCCTGCACAGATCACAAGGCAATTAACTGAGCCATTTCTGCAAATGTATGTTGTTCGTCTGCCACGCAGGAACGCTAGAACCTTCTGTGCAATCACCTGCTGAGCACAGAGCTGATGGCCGTGTGCTCGGGAGACAGAGGGCACCCTCGGGCACCATGCCCTACTGGAGACACTCAATAATAAATACTTGCTGAATGAAAATATTAAGTGACTTTCAAAAACTATTACTTGAGGGGGAACAACAGTAAAGCCTTTTCCTACTGACTTCACAGACGTCCGAAGTTTCCCTGGCATCTGCTGAAGAAGAGCTAGAAGCCTAGAGAACTTTCCTTCGGGCTCTTCTTCCCAAGGGCCGGGCGATCACAGCAGAATCCAGAGGTCCGAAGAGCGGGCAGCCGTGGGGATGGGAGTCAGCCCTGGCCTGCAGGCGGGCCGCTCTGCACTTCCTCCCCTCCCTTCCTGACACACCTTTCCACACAGCTTCTGTTTGCTTCTGTTACCCCACGCACCTGTTCCAGAGGGAGGATGAGAACAAGCCGGCCGCACCCTCGGCTCCAAGGCCAGCTCCCCACAGTCATACAGATGCCAACACGTGCATCCGTGGGCCACAATGACCCTCAGAATTCCCTCCTCCGACCGGAGCGGCCCGAACCCGAGGGGCTTTGCCGACAAAACCGCAGGCCTGGCGCCGGTACTCTGGCGAGCGCCGTGTACAACAGGGGTCAGAAACCCTTTCCTGGAAGGGGCTGGAGACTGCAGAGCTTTGGGTCCCCGTCCAACTGCCCAGATCTGCCACTGCCATGGGGGGGATGGGGAGGCGGCAACCAGCGCCGCAGGGCGCCGCCCTGCCCCCCAGATTTTCCTCACGAAACAGCCACTGCGTCTGGTTGGCCTGTGGGCCCAACTTGGCCCAGCCTTGGCTGATTATTCCAGGGCTCTGAGGACCGGCCTCCCACCTGAGTTCAGCGCCCTTTCAAACTGTGGACCCACCACTATTTCACTACAACAACTCTGAATATTTTTTTTCACATCCATTACTTGTGCAATTTATTTCTCCATCACCCATGAAATGAACTTTGTTCTCTAGAGAACTTTGTTCCCCAGGTTCCTGATCCTGTTTTTAACTTACCAGAGCAGCTTTTCCTTGTGATCTTTTTTGTTAGGAAGTGACCTAAACACATGTGCCTGATTTAGAGGCATTGTCAGGATCACTGTCAGGTTCTTCTGGAAAATGGCTGTAGCTTCAGGGGATGGGAGGTGAGCGGGGAACCCCGGTCCCCTCGCTGGACCACTCTGAGAGCCAGACTAGCCAACCTGGGCAGTGGAGTGTGGCGCCGCAGTGGGGACAGGGGTGCAGGCTCCCCGACCTCGTGTTCACACAGGGGCCCCCTTAACCCTTCCAGCAAACCAAAGACCCTCAACAGCGATAATTATTCCTGAATGCCTCACGCTAATGAACAAACCCTCTAACATTCGCAGGGCTTCAGAAACCACTCCAGAAGGAGGTGCCCGATGAAGGTATGTAGAAAGGCTTAACTAACAGCTGCTGGGTCAGGCACAAGGTGAACGGACTCCCCCACGTGGCACGCAGGTCTATGGAAGGGCAAAGTGCGCAGAGACAATAAAACAGTCACTCTGCTTACCGATCCCCACACAGACCATTCCTCCCAAACACCCTCCCCCCAGCTATTGCCTACACCGGCTAAACCACTGCATCCAGCAGGACCCACAAAATACAGAGGCTGCCCGGTGGCCTGGCCCACGTCCCAAACCCGAGCCGCAGTTGGCCAGGAAATGCATCTCTGTTGAGGAAACCCAACACAGGCCAGTCGGGCTCCTCCAGCTCGGTTTAGCCAGCTCACCTGACCCTCGCAGGCAGGACCTGCTAGCTCTGCTAGCTAGAGGAACCCCGACCTCCCAGCCAGCCAGGACTGTCCCCGCCGAGCTGCTTCTAAGGCTCCATGAACCTCGCTCTAGCCCCAAATCCCACAGAAGTGCGACCGGCTGGTGAGGCAGGGAATCCCTGATCCATGGGTCGTTTTCCCTTGAATAAAGGACAGTAATTTCCTTACTAAATAGTTGTGCTTTTGTTATGCGACATGCTCCACATTCAACAGCCAAGCCCTGTTTACTTTACTTCTGAAATATGTCAGACCCAAATGCTCACCTCCTCTGCCCCCTCAAGCCACCCTCCAAAACACAGCTCAAACGACCTTCTTCAAAACTGGATCGCTTTTGGGGTGCCTGGGTGGCTCAGTCGTTAGGCGTTTGCCTTCAGCTCAGGTCATGCTGGATCGCTTTTGGTGGCTTCATTCTGTTCGTGGCACAAAACCACGGGTCCCGGATGACATGGGTCCTGCCCACGTCTCCAGCCATGTCTACCCACTCCACCCAGAGCGGGGTTTGTCTCAGCACTACTGACATTTTGGGCTGGGGGCGCCTAGGGGCCTTTGGAATATTGGGGTTCATATGTACCGTTGACATCGGGAACAAAATGTTAAACAAAGAGATGCTTTCTCTAGTTCCCTAACAGGATCTGGCATCTCTCTCTGACCCCCCTTCCCGGCACTGCCCCCCCCCCCCCCCCCCCCCCCCCCCCCCGCTGCCCCGGAAGCACTAGATTCCAGAGAACCCCGCCTTCTGCTTCTCAGGCTCGTCAACCTCGGTCTGGCCTCGGGACCTGTGCTCTTGCTATTAGCCCCTCCCGAACCATCTTCCCAGATCAGAGCGAGCTGCTGCTTTTGGTCACAGAGGTCTGAGCTTAACCATCACCAAGTCAGAACGGCTCCCTGCCCAGCCCGCCTGTGGCCCTAACCCCCATTTGAAACTGCCTCCTCTAATTCTGTGGACCCCCTGCTAGAATGTGCTTCATCAGAGCAGAGGCCACAGGGCACTTCCTCCCTCCCTCCGTGTGCCCATGAGTGAAAGCAGGGGCACTGAAATTAGACTGAAGATAAACCTGTATGATGGAAATCCTCATTGTGAAATCCTAATCGTAAGCCTCAGAAAACTGATTTATCCTCTATCAGTCATTGCCACTTAGAATCTGGTGGAGAACTGTAACATCTTTAAGTGGAAAGGGACATTAAAGGGTTGGCTTTGCCCCCAGTGGTTCATTTTAATGATGGGGAAACAGACCCACTGAGGGGAAGTAAGTTGAGAAATTTTATGAAGCAAGTCAGTTAAAAACAGCAACAATGACTCTCCATTAAGCTTCAGGCACTAATCTGGTCTGTGCGTGCCCTGAGGGGCTTACAGTGCAGAGAGGAGAAGAGAAAAAACACAAATAAGCATATGACTAGATCATTGCAGCAGAAGGTAAGTGTTGAGAAGGTGAGCACACAGGAGGGGGAGGATGGAACAGGGTATGCTGGGAGCAGAGGTGGGAGGCCCCCTCGGTCAGCAGGGCCCACCCGAAGGATGAGGGAGCGCTTGCACGTTTGCTGCACCCTGGGCCTGGAAACCCTCCCCAGCTCCAGGCTTCCAGGGACCCTCCTTCGCACTCAGGATTCTGCACAAACGTCACTTAGGCAGGGAGGCCTCCCCAGGGCCTCCCTGCCTGAAACAGCTCCCGTGCACGAGCAGCCCCTAACCCTGTTAGGTTATATACATTGCGTCGGTCACGGCAGACATCCATGCGCTTTTACTCTCTTCTGCCCCACGGCAATGTAAGCGTCACGCAGACCCGACCTCGGTTCTCCTTGCTGAGTCCCCAAGCCTAGGGCGCTCCTAATGCACAGAAAGCATCAATGAACCAGGCACGGAAGATGTGCGTGCGGAGCAGGCCGGCAGCCCCTGCAGCGCCTTCTCCCTACCATCCTGCCCTAGTGCGGGGTCCTAAGCGGAGTCCCCCCCCCCGCAACCCCAGACAACCCCAGAGGCCAGTGGGTGCGCGTGAGGACAGCCGCGTCCACGCGGGGCCGGGGCACCTGGGCCGGGGCTGGGCCCTGCGCGCCCGCGGACCCCACCTCCCCGCGCCCCCTCCCGCGGGCCGCCGCCTCCCCGCGCCCGCCCAGGCCCCCTGCGCGCCCGCCAGTCCGTTTGGGCGCGCAGTCGGGGCGGCCGGGGGGGGGGGGCCCACCGAGCGCGCCGCGCTCACAACGCGGATGCTCGGCCGGCGCCCGCACCTACCGGACGCGCTCGGCCGTGACGGCGTTGCCGGTGTGCCGCCGCAGTACGGCCAGGAACAGGAGCCGCATGCCGCCATCGACCGCCTGCCGCCGCCGCCGCCGCCGCCGCGGACCTGGCCCGGAGGCGGGGGCGGGAGCGCGGACCCGGGCGGGGGGGGGAACTGGGGGCGGGGACGCGGACAGGGGGAGGGGGTGGGGTGCGGGCGCCCGGGCGGCGAGCGGTGGCGCTGGGTCGGTCCCGCCCGCCGCTCCTGAGGCCGCGCCCGCGCTCGCCGCTTCTGGCACCGGGTTCCCGGCGCGCGGGAAGCGGGGGAGAGAGGGTAGCGCGAGGCCTCTCCCACGGGGACCGGGGCCCCGGGGTTCGCGGGGCCACTTGTACAAGGACCGCTCCCACGGGACGAGCACCAGGGGTTCCTCGGGTCCCTCCCATGGGAACCAGAAGAGATCACAGGTGGACTCTCATGGGTCCACTCCCATGGGGAGGAGGCTGTAGGTCTGCTCCCTTGGGGACTAGCACCAGCGGTGATTTTGGGTCCCCTCCCACAGGGACCAGCAGCAGGGGTGACTGCAGATGCCCTCCCTCAGGAACCATGGACGGCCTCGTGGGCACCAGGGTGGTCAGAGTCTGCCCCAGGGGTATCAGGACCAGGGTCTCTTGAATGGCTTGAAAAATCAGAGATGTGGCAATCTTAAACCATTTCCACAGTCCACTAGATATAAGAAGGAGCTGTCTTGTCCCCTTTAGATGTGTTAAAAGATAAACTGAGGCACAGTAAGATTTTTCAGTTTATTTGAGCTAAAGTTGACTCCAATGGAGCAGTACTGAACTGGAAATGGTTGGTGGGGGAGGGGCAGGAACTCCCGGAGAGACTTTCATAGGGAAAATGCAGAATCAAAGGAAGTATGTTAATTGGCTCCAGCTGAAAGCCTGGTTGACCATTTGTGATTGGTTGTTCTGACGTTTCCATTTCGGAACCGTAACCCTGAGGCACTGACAGGGCTGTGTCTTGGCTTAGGTGCGCCAGCTCCCAGATTTTGGAGTCCCACCAGTCTAGCCTCCTGGTTCAGTCTGACACAGGGGGCCTGAGCTCTTCAGCGCACCACAGTGGTGGAGGCTCACTTCAGTTCCTTCATGATCTCCACCTGAACGTGAAGAAACTCGTTTATTTCATGGCTCCACCATCACCAGGGACCCAGGCTTCGAAGTCCAACATCCCAGGGTCCGGCCTCTGTTCTCAACATGTCCGTAAAGTGCGCATGACGGCCGCAGCCCGGCCCATCAGTCAGGCTCCAGGCAGCAGGGAGGGTGGGCACAAGGGTGCACCCAACATGGTGCATTTCGGAGCTCCTGGAGTGTCACACGGCTGAAGCCTTTATCTTATAGAGTACATGACCACATCTTCCATCCACAGCAGCCGGGAAGTACAGTCTGTTAGCGGGGCGCACTGTCGCCCTGCATCAAATGGTCACTAAGAGAGAACACAGGTTCTAAGGACCTGGATGTGGACATATCTTTTTCGGGGCAACCACTCGACCCACTAACTGGCCCATTTCAAAAATGTGTGTATGAAGGCCCTGGCTCCCGCACAAGGGACTATTTATTCCCCACTTCTACCCCCATGGCTCTTTGTCCCTTCCCCCATGCTGGTCCCAGTCTGCATAATAATCAGCAGCCAGCCCCTTTGTCTCCAGGGGTCTGATCTCACTCATGCTCCAACTTCCACTTGCCTGGGACCATGTTGTGGGTGGAGAAGGCACTTGGTAGATGTTTGCTGAATTAAATGAAATCACTGACTGTGCACTGCTGTGAAATTTTACTCCTATGATAATGCATTCCTGATTTTTTTTAAAGATTTTATTTATTTATTTGAGAGAGAGAGAGAATGAGAGATAGAGAGCACGAGAGGGAAGAGGGTCAGCAGACTCCCCGCCGAGCAGGGAGCCCGATGCGGGACTCGATCCCCGGACTCCAGAATCATGACCTGAGCCGAAGGCAGTCGCCTAACCAACTGAGCCACCCAGGCGCCCGCATTCCTGATTTTTTTAATGGAAGTCAGTGCTGCAATAGGATTTCCTAGGCTGAAATTCACTTTTATTGGATTTTTCTGAAATACGCCTGCAAGGTAAGAGGTTCTCACATATCTTTGAGGGCCCCTTACTTTATTCATTCATTGCTTCAGCTTACCCATTTATAAGACAAGAAAGACTACACAGTATCATAGCTAATTAGGTCATTTTGGTGAAGTCTTTTATGATTCTCCCAAGTAGGTAATAGAAAAGGGTACAAAGACAAAAAATGTGTTATTATGGGATAATACAGAAATAATTACTGGGGGGGGGCACAGCTAGAACAGAAAAGGTTGTAAGCCTCTCATAAGATTTCTCCAGATGCTTCTAACATAAGGGTCTTAAAATAGATGTAAAGCAAAATCTGTTTTTTCTTTCATCATAAGTGTTTGCTCAGACTATTTCTCTAGTTCATGGCACCAAGGAAAATGAAAGTTTATTATCTACCCTGTATAAAAGTATAGCATTTCAGGGGAGAGCACCATGGGCATATTGACTTTAGAAATGGTTCATGACAAAAATCAGCACCTGACATCTTTTTTTTTTTTTTTGCCTTCATGACATTAACAAGTGGGGCACTCTCCTCTTTTTCTAGCAGATTCCAATCTCTGTAGGATCATTCTTCCCCACCATACTGAGAACTACAACTATGGGATGTGTGTGTATGTGTGTGAAGGGGGCACGGGGGGGAGACAGGGAGAGAGAGCTTCCTAAACACCAAAGGCGCAGGCAGAACTGTTGCGCTCTCTCTTCCTGTCTCACTGACAGCACTCGAATGTGACCAAATACAAAAGCAAGCTGTTGGTCTAAAATAACTAGTTTCTTCCAGTCTTGCTTAATGAACATGGGGAAGTCAACCAGAACTAAACAATTTTCCCTTTGAGCTTCTGGCCAAAAAAGTGGGCCTTTCTTCCCACTGCTGTGTTGAAGGTGGGGTGTACTGCGTTCTTAACTCTGCAGTGCAAGGACGCTCATCCCAAAGCTGCTCATCATTGCCAACTGGGGCAGGACATCTGAGAGCTCTGCTGCAGCTCTAGGGCTTCACGGTCCTCATGATGCGGGAGACAGAGGTCCCATCACTGCACATCAGAGGTTAACTGCTGCTAACAACACCCTATTGTAAGCACTGACCTGTGTTTATTCTTTTAAACTTTTACTATTTTTTTTTAAGATTTAACTTGAGAGAGAGAGAGGGAGCATGAGCATGTGAGCAGTGGGAGGGGCAGAAGGAGAGAGAATCTCAAGGCAACTCCCCACTGAGTGCAGAGCCTGATGCAGGGGTCTATCTCATGACCTAAACCAAAATCCAGAGTTGGACACTTAACCGACTGAGCCACCCGGGTGCCCCTTTTTCATTTATATTACACACACACAGAGGATTAACACACACAGATAACATCACAGAATCCCACCGCCCTAAGACAACCACTATGAATACTCTGGTCTCAAGTTTTTCCAGACTCAATGAAATCATGGTGCCCATCACACAGCTGGCAGTGCCCATCCCCCCCCCGTCCTCCCCCCAACCCTAGGTTGCAGGTACTCCTGTTCTCAGCACTTTACAGGAGAAACGGGAGATTCAAGAAGGTGCACGTCTCCCAAAGTGATGCGGACCGTACAGGCTCTAGAGTCCCTTCAGCCCCGCTATACGGACCCAGGAACACAGGACCTTGTTGTTGTCGACTTGTATTGCTTTGCTTTGTGTTTGTCATTTCGTTACAAAAAGCAAAAATGTTTTATGTGTGTTTTTTGTTGTTTGCCTTTTTTTAAAACTTAATAATCGTGGTAGGCAATACCCCCCCACCTTTTTTAGTGAGTAAAGCGACAGAAGTTTATTAAGCAAGGATACAGAAAAAGCTCTGAGAGAGGGGTCGCGACAGGGTTACCCCATGTGAGGCCACATTCTAACATGGCCCCAAGATTTCCAGCCTCCTGATTTATGCCTTCTTCCAGTTATTCAATCAAATGTCCATCCATGTGATGAGGTGAAGAGAATTTGTGGATTAAATTTCCAAATTAGTCACCCTTAGAATAGGGAGGTCGTACAGGGTGAGTCTCACCCAGTCACTGACCGGCGCTGCACATTTCCTGATGTCTCCAAGACTCCGGTGTGAGGGATCCTCTGGAGTCTCTGGGGCTGGCACTGGGGCCAAAGGCGGCCAGGTGCACAGAGCGCGGACGGGCTCAGGGTTATGAGCAGCCCCCAGCTGAGAGCCAGCAGGAAGTGGGCCTCTCCTCCCCACCTCACAGGACTACATTCAGCCACGATCACAGGAGCCACAAAGAGCTCCAGAAGAGACCTTAGCCCAGCCCGCACCTTCACTTCTGCTCGGGACCCCGAGCCGGAAACCAGCCAGCATGCCCAGCCTGTGGCTCCCACAGCTGTGAGCTGACACGGTGTTGCCTGAGCCACCACAAAGTTGTGGTAATTTGTTTTGTAACAACAGAAAACGAACACAGTGAATCTTGAATGTGTTTCCACATTTCCAGAATCCTGCATCATTTCAATGACTACATAGTATCCCAGTGTACCCACGCACTATAATTTAATCAGTGCCTTGCTGTTTCCTTTTTTTTTAGATTTTATTTATTTATTTGAGAGAGAGAGCACGAGAGGGAAGAGGGTCAGAGGGAGAAGCAGACTCCTCGCTAAGCAGGGAGCCCGACGCGGGACTCGATCCCGGGACTCCAGGATCATGACCTGAGCCGAAGGCAGTTGCCCAACCGAGCCACCCAGGCGCCCTTTTTTTTTTTTTTTTTTTGCTTTTTAAGCAACACTGTGATGAACACTTTATAGCTAAGTCTCTGCATGCATTTTTAAATTTCTAGCAGTTGCACTGCACGTTCAGTGTAGGCAAATGTGGTTTTGATATAAACAGCCAATTGCCCTCCAGAAACTTTGTACCAAATTTACCTCTCCATTGACCATTTATGAGTACCCTCACTTGACTGCCCAACAATTGCCAACACTGACTATTTTTCAGCTCAAGTGACATGTCCCCTCTTTCTGCATTTTTAAATTACTGGTGTAACTTGACTTTTTTTTTTTTTTCCCTTTCAGGGCATTTTCTTTCCGTGTGTGTGTGCATGCATGTGTATGTATTGCTTGTATTGGCTGGAACTTTTCCAATTGCAAGGGACTGAAAGGCACAATTGCTTAATCAGAAAGGGAAGTCATGGGCTCACAACTGAAACGTCCAAGAAAAAAGCTACTTTAGGCGATAGGCAGAACCTAGACCTGGAACATGTCTTTTTCAAACAAGGTCTTTCTCTCTTCATCCCTACTTTTTTCTGAGTTGTTTCATTCCTAAGTTTTACAAGATGGCCCCTGGCAACTCTAGGCTTATATCTTTAGAATTACAAATCGAGAAGAAGGAACAGTTCATTCCTGGTCCTCCAGAATAAGTCAAGGGATCAGCTCTGATTAGACCAAAATGGGGTCCGTCTTTGAGCCTATCACTGTAGCTCAACAGATAGAATCCTGCCATTGGATGGGCTTAGGTCACATGACCATGATCACAGCTAGCCTAGGGGACGGCCAGTCCTGCCTGTACCACCCCAGGAGCTGAAAAGCGAGGTGCCCCTAGCAGAAGAGATGCTGAGCAGCACCGGAGGACCGCTCTCTTCTACGACGCCCGAACATTCACTTTGCCAGTTTTATTTATTGGATATTTACCCAAGAAATCCCGTAAGAGTCCAAGAACTTATAAAATAAAGACATTAACTCTGTCATACATATTTCAAGTATTTTTAAAGTCTGTTTGCTGCCAACTGCAGTTATCCTTTTTTATGCAAATAAGTTTTAAGTTTTTATGCAGCCAGATCAATTAATGTTTTCTGTTATGGCTTATGGCCTTGGTGTTAGGCTTAGGAAAGCGTTCCCTGCCCCGAGATTTTCTGTTTGCCAATAGTTTCATGTAATGTTTTTGATAGAAAATTTATGCTGGAATTTATGCTGGTCTGAAATGTGAAGCCTGTTTTTCCCCTGTGTATAGTCGCTCACCCCAACAGAATTCACTGAATAATCCCTTCTTTTCTCCATGTGTTGGGCATGCCCTTAGTATCACGAGCTGAATCATTTCACGCACGTGCTTTAGTGCTCGTCCTTCCTGTTCATCTCCCCGGACCTCTTCTGTAAGGCCTAGTCTAAAACATGAACATGCTGTGGCTGCTGGCTGTTTTACAACAGCGACAGGAATGGAGATGTTTACAAGGAACTGTAAGAGTGGCAGTCGAAAGAGAATGGGCAGGTGCGGCCCCATGTCTTGCACTTCTTCAAACGGAAGGAAGCAGAAGTTCCTTTTCTCTCTCCTCCCTCCCCCTTTCTGTCGGTGAGTGCCTGCCTGCTGCAGATGTCTCATGGCTATTTAAAGCACAGGGGAGAAGGAACCCAAGAAGTAGAGGCTGCTACTCACAAGGGTCGAAGAAAACGAGTGTTTGAAAGAAGTCAAACCAAAACCCATCTTCCTGGCCACACACGCTCACCTCCCCTGTAAAAATAAAACAGAAGTCATTCTGAAAGCTGAATTAATTCTCACAACAGCAGGTTAGTGTGACTTTGTTTTGGGCTCAAGAAAATAAGGCCTGACTCCATCCCACAGGTTGACTGTTTTTACTTCTCATATTTTCTGCTTTTACCTACGTGCTTTGCAGCCAGACAGAACTGTTACAACAGGGACTCCCAGAAATAACCAGAACTTACAACAACTTTGTACCCGAGGAGAGTCAAGAGATGGACGGGATGGCCTCACTCCGTGGCCTGGCGCACAGAGACGGGCTGGGCCTGTCGTGGTCCCTGGGATGGAACTGGGGAAGCAGGAAAGCAGAAGCACTGGCCATGTGTACTGACACTGAGCAGTCATGACATGTGGAGAAGGGTTGGTTAGTGATGTACAGATGGCACAGGACGTCCGTGATGGCCACTTGTAGACCCATGTTTTGAGAAAGCAGAAAACTATGAGTAAGCAGATACAGCTGTACGGCGGCACAGGATGAGGCATGCAGACGTGAAATGAAAAGCAGAAATACCGTGAAAAAGTTGACAGCCCCTGACGTGTCCTCGGTCCCCAGTGGTTTCTGAATTCACTCCATCAAGATAGCATCTCCTCTGGGCTCTGCACTGAGCAGGAACAGGGGACAAGGTAGTGATGGAGAAGGAAACGTCCTGCATCAGAGCAAACGGTGCCTTCCAGTCCACACCACAAGCGACCTTGCAGTAAGGTCCCGTTTCCCAGAGAGTCCTTGAGGTGAAGAGACTGCCCACAAAACTACACTTTGTAAGACGACGTTACCTTTCTTCCACACGCCAGCTGTGTGAGTTAGGTCATGTACTTATTTATTTGAGGTGCAAAGGAGAGACTCCCACGATTACTTTCAGGAACAGGGGCATATTCCAAGAATAGGCCGTAAAGTGGCGAGAGTCAACTTACATCAATTCTTTAGCGCTATCATCGCTGGGGCTTAGCACAGGGGCTAAAAACACACTGCTTATATGGGCCAGGCAGAAACTCTACGAGCAAACTGGACCAAGTGTGAGGAAAAAATCGGGCTGCCCTCTCTTATTCTTTTATTTTCCTGCTCGCCATGACAGGTGGCTTTTGGCTACAAGTAACAGAAAACCCAACACAGTGGCCTAAACAGGTTAAGCTTTATGGTCTTTACTATCTAACTTCTCCCTGATTCTCCACGTGCCATCCACGTCCTGAGCTGGCTCGACTAATGATTGTGAGGCAGTTGCCAGCAGCAGTGAGGGCTCCCGGCTCCCGAATTCGTGCCCCGTTTGGAAGAGTGTGTCTCCGTTGCAGTCATGGAAAAAGAGTCCTTTCTTTTGGCTGACTGGGCCGATTTATGTCATTTGTGCTCTGCTGGGCCCTGGGGGAATGTCATGTCTTGAATGGTTACAGTCTGGGTTTCCAAACCAGTCACTGTGAAGAGGCATGAGAGACTAGCATTGGTTCTGAATAGTTAGATCCGGAAAACAAAGATGACGTTAGCTTTTCCTGAGCCGCATGGGTAGCTGGTGGGGAGCAAGGAGGGGGGCAGCACAAATTGAGAGGAGGCAGCCGAATGGCATCCCGTTTGGAAGGACAGGAGGGTGCACACGGCACGTCAGGACAAGGCAGCGTGTCGGACAGAACTTTCTGCAAAGGTGGGATGATCTATGCTGTGCTGCTCACCGTGGTAACCACCAGTCACAGGAGGCCGTTGGGCACCTGAAATGTGGCTGGTGTGACTGAGGCACAGAACTTTTCATTTTATTAAACTCGTAGTAATTTAAGTTCAAGTTGCCACACGTGGCTAGTGGCTAGTGCACCAGACAGTGCAAAGAGAGAAGATTTCTCTGCAGTAAGAAAATGAGACAACAGAGAGTGAGCGGGCCTTAAGTAAGCTGGAAAGTGTACGCCCCACATCAGACAGTGCCCGCTACCTGGTGTCAGCAGATTGTGGCCATGGGAGAAGACAGGTGTGTTTTCATCACCTGATGCTGCCTAACAATCCTGCCCTGAACTCAGTGGTTCAAAATAACAAGTATTTCATTTGTTCACAATTCTGCCATCTGGGCTGAAGCTCAGCTGGGCAGTTTCTGCTGGTCTTGCTGTTGGTGACTTGAGTGGCTTCCCTGAGCTGGCAGGTTGGCTGGGATGATGGGGACCTCCTCTCAACAGAGTTGCAGACCCTTCTTCGACACGTGGTCTCTCTGGCAAGGTGCCTGGACTTCTTACATGGTGGTTCAGGGCTTCCAAGGCACCAAAGGAGAAGCTGCGAGACCTTCCTAAGGCTCAGGCCCAGACCTGGCCCAGGGATATTCTGCCACATTCTCAGAGCATTTTTTTTTTTTTTTTTTTTTTAAAAAACACTGCACCCAAACCAAAGCATTTCTTCCTGCTGGACTGTTTTTGCAACTTCATGGTGTCAGAGACTGCAGGGTACACCCAACTTCTTCCCCAGGACCAGGAAGTGCTCAGAGTGCCTCAGGGTACATCCTGACCTCCGTAGCTGCCACACCCACTTTATTCTCTTAGCTCTGTACTTCCCAGCTGAGATAATCCGACTGAGTTAGTCGGCCATCATCCAAGATGGCACATCTGCATTGGACAGAGCTTCACACTAAATCACGTGAACCAGGTCAAATGGCTTCACTTTTACCCACGTATTTACTCTGCGCTTTGCCAGAGTGTGTCTGTTTTATCAGTCTGTTAACAAATACTTGGAGGTTCTGTCTCATGTTCCAGCCAGAATGTGGAAGAAGCACTGCATTGTACTAGGAATTGAGTAAAAACCTTTTATTTAAGACTGAGCTCTGCCTACTAGGTGTGTGGTCCTGGACAGAAATCTTAAGCGCCTTGCCCTTCAGTTAAATTAGAATATTATGTACACTTTAGAACATCAGGGAGTCTCAAAAAAACAAACAAACATAAAATGCTCTTTTGGCACCATTTAAAAATCAAATATTCACTCATTCATTTCCACATGTGTTTATCGTTGGCGGGGGTTGTGCTAGTTTCCTGGAATACAGTAACGGACAAACAAAATCACAGCCCTCCCAGGTTTGAGGACAGGTATTAAATCATTTCACAAAATATATAATCATTAACGAATATGGTGTTGTGAAGACGTTGTATAGGGTACCCTAACGACCTATGAAAAGGGATCCGCCCTGTTCTGGGAGGAACTGACATGGGACCTTCCAGCTAAGGCCTGACGATGACTGGCATTAATGGATTGGGTGTGCAGGTCCTACACCGGCGCTCGACGGTTCCCTCTTTAAATATTAAGTATTTACTGCCTTTTGTGCGCCAGAACCGTGGGGGGCAACACTGCAGGGGTCACTCACTTAGGAACATAAACAAGTGAACACATGCTACTTCAAGGAAAGGCTTCTTACGCAGGTGACCTACCTGCAAGCCCACTGCCCAGGTAACGGCTCCAGGCTTCTCTCAGCCGTGAAGACGGGAAGTGAGCACTGGTCTCGCGCCCGCCCCCTCATCCAGCGGTGGGTCCCACCGTCGGAAGCCACGCTCGGGCCGTTTCTCAGGGACGCCCTTCCACTCCACCATGTGCGGTCACCGCTGCAGGTGCTCCGGGCGCGGCGAAGAAGCAGGCGCATTAGAGCCCTGCCGCCACGGGGCCAGTACCCGTGGGGACCAGCACGGGCCGGGGAAAGGCGCCGAGGAACGCGCCGAGACCGCGGCAGGTGCTACGGAGAAAGTACAACAGGGCAATGCGGTGGGGGCGGGACCCACTTCAGACGCGACGGTCGCGAGACGCTTAGAGGCAGTGGACCCCGGAGTTGAGGGATGAAGGGAAGCGGGAAGCCATCCGTGGGTCAAGGACACGGGCTCTGAGCCCGGCTTCTCGCGGGACAGCGGTCCTTCGCGGGGACCACCGGGCATGCCCGGCGACAGCGTGGCGGCCAGCCCGGCGAGCGGGCGCGGAACCGGCGCGCGGCGGGCAGCGGGCAGCGGGGGCCAGGGCGCCGCTCGCCGGCCCACCGCGCCCAGGGCGGCGCACAGCGCAGGGCCACCAGCCCCCGCGCTCGGCCGCGCGCCTGCAGGGAAGCCGCGTGCGGGGCGCGAGGGAGCCCGGGGCAGGCGCCGGCTCCGCACATCGGCCCGGAGGGCGGGCAGAGTCCGGGGCCGGAGGGGGCCGACGTTTCCGCAGCCGGGGGCTTGGCACTGCGGAGGGCCAGGCGCCGTCCCGCTTTAGGGGGCACCGCGGGTGGGAACGCCGGGAGGCCCCCCGCCCCCCGCCCGGCCGGGCTTCCGGCCAGAACCGGAAGTCACCGGCGGCTGCGGCCAATGGGGGCACCGGGCGGGCGGGCCGAGGCGTGGCCGGGGAGGGGGGAGCTCTCGCGAGAAGGGCGGTGGCGGCGGCAGCCAATAGGGACGCCGCGGGGCAGGGCCGCGGCGCAGACGGGCGGGTCCCGCGAGAAGGGCGGCGGCGGCGGCGGCGGCCGGGGCGGCTGGGGCGCGGCGCGGCGGGCCGAGCGGCGGCGGGGCGCA